ATTTGACTGCTATCAAAAATCGTGTCGATCTGTTAGAATCAACTGCTCCAAAGTCCAACACTATTCAGGACATGTTTGCTGAGTTTGTCAACCGTCAAAATCGTTCTAAAAATATAATCGTTTTTAATGTGCATGAACAATCTAGCCAGAATAATACCTCAGATATTTATTCAATAACACGCATTTTTGATAAACTCGGAAATGACATAAGTTACATGTAGTACATACAATACATATAGCGTTGTTACTAGAGCACGGATTTATATGAATTTAAAACTAACCAAATATGCCCTAAAAAAACCTCTAAATATACATAAGTATATACACTAAAATGTTAAAATATGCACAAAAAATAAAAAAATATGCATAATAAATAATTTGCCGAAACCAGTGCTCCGCATAAATCTGCAGAAAATGAATTTCATTTCATTTTTCAGTGTCTTATTATTAGTGAATAAACTTTAAAAATTGCGTTGTTTATTCTGTTGTAAATTCACAGATTTTAAATGTTATTCAGTATTAATATATTGTATAATTGAATACCGTTTATCGTGGGAAACTTTTACTGCACATAATTTGCACAGTATGATTTGACCATCGGTTGAAAAAATATTCTCCCCGAATTCATGCACATAATTACGAAGACGTCTCGATAACGAAGATTTATCTTTCGGCATTATGAAAAAAAAATAAAATAAAAAAAACGCGAATTACAACACGAGCACACACGAACGCACAGCTGTAAATATTTTAATACGATTGAAATAGTGAAATAGTGGTGAATCGTTACCGCTGTATTCGGTACAATGTAACGGATTACATAGATGGAATGAGTAAGAACGAGTACATTAATCGTTCCATAGTCGTTCCATCGGTACATTCGGTACAAATTTTCAAATTACAAAATGGTCCCCATCAGGCGATGCTGATACCAACACCGAGTAGTACTAAGTGAAATAATGTCAATGATCAATCATGGTCGTAATCGATATTTTCTTATTTAAGAAAACGTATTTTATTTCTCCGATTATTGATCTAAAGTTATATTTGGGAAAATCTTTTATACTAACTGGAGTGGCATACGAGAAAAGGATCGATGTGATTGCACACACTAGAGGTAGTTTACTCCGCAAGCACTTTCAAGGCGTTCACGCACGCATGCAACACAAGTTGCCTATATTCAACTGTTTAAAAATTACAAGGATCGAACCATCAGAACAAATTTTATAGAAACTAAAGAACTAAACTGTATTAAAAAAACTACCCTGATTAATCCTAATTAATCAAATAAATGCACTCTTAATACTATTTTATAAGAATCTAAATTGTGTCTAGACAATTACTGTTAATTTTGTTACATTTGAAGACAAGCATATGTTTGTGCAATATTATACTTTTTTTTTTTTATTGTTACTATTTATATTTATTTTTATATTGTTTTATATTTGTTTATTTTATTTTTTAATCCTCTGTCAGATTTTCCATAAAAAATGAGACTTATTAGCAAAATATAAATATTTTAAATTTTTTAAAATTAGTTCGGTGAAAATATAATATGCAAACATGTGTACTCATGTCACTAAATAATACATAAAAAATAAATAAACTAATTTGAACTTAATTAAATATAAACTATTCTGAATGAACTTGGTGGACTAAAATACCATTGCAACAAATAATAAGTTTACGTTAATAATAATGCTAATTCATACGTTATTGACTCTGGGTGTGTTTAACAAACAGGTATCACTATTAGTTACAAATTGTTACTCTATTGATAACCGTATACATAACTCAATATATATAAATATATATATAATTTAACAACAATTTGTACGGCTTAGATGAAAAAGTAAATTTTCCTAAGTATTCGTAATTTAACTAAGACAAACAAGAATTGTGAAAGTGTTTTTAATATTGATAACAATTAAAAATATCATTGGTACTTTATACTTTTTAATAACTAAAATAGCATTGATTAAATATACAAATACATAAATAATTTATTATTTATTATTTTATTACATATCATACTTTATATTTAATCAATACTGTTAGCAATAAATGCTTTGGCAGTTAACTCCTTTTAGAAAGATTTGAAATGAACTGTACTAATGCTCTGGTTGGTTTACCAGACATACCACTTGAAATATATGAATCACTTTCGCCACTCGATTTCATCACTCCAGCTATATCCAGGTGAATCCAATTACCATGTGGTGCAAATTGCTGTAGTCAAATAATATAATTATATTAATAAACACAGTTTCCGTTCATCATAATTTTTTAAATTCAATTAACAGACCTTTAAAAATGCTGCAGCTGTACAAGCACCGCCACCTTTGCCTTTTCCTATATTACACAAATCAAAACCAGAATAACCTGTGATGGGGAAAACACACACAAACACATAGAGTTTAGTTAAATAGTTTAGTGTAATAATTATGGCCGATGGATATTGTCTTCATTAAATTCATAAGATTACCTTTTAATAATGAAGAATAATAATTCCATAGTGGAAACCTCCACATTCTATCACCTGTGTAATGACCGGCTTTTTCTAGATCAGCCCACAAAGTGTCTGATGTACTAAACACTCCGGACGCAGCTTCACCTATGGCAACTGCCATCGCACCTAATGGAACATCATTGACAACATTTTATATGATTCATTTTTTTCTTAGGAAAACACACACTATCATATAATTTATAGCAAAAGTTGACATTAAGATAAATTAAGATTAGTATTATTACCTGTTAGAGTAGCAAGATCCAAAGTCACTTGTGGATTAAACGTAGCTGCATAACACAGAGCATCAGCAAGTATTAGCCTGCCTTCAGCATCAGTGTTATCTACTTGTATGGATTTACCATTCATGGCAACAATAACATCCCCCGGCTTCAGTGCACTACTACTTGGCATGTTTTCGCACAATGGTGTCAGTCCTATGTAAACACAGAAGTTTTAGTATACCAGTTATGTTTTAAAAAAGTGTGAGCATTCTAGAAATGTATTAGAATGCAACTATTAAACATACAATTAAGCTTGTTAAAACTCACCGATAATGTTGATTGGAAGTTTCAAATCTGCAATAGCTGATATTGCAGCTACTACATTAGCAGCACCCATCATGTCGGCTCGCATCTCACCCATAGCTGCTGAAGGTTTGATTGATATACCCCCGCTGTCAAATGTCACTCCTTTTCCTGTTGAACATAGTGAAGATAAAGTTATTACTGTTCATTCAATAAAACTTAAAAAAAATCATGTTGACCCACCAACCAAAACTACAGGCTTATCATTTTTGTTTCCACCTGAATAGTTGATTTCCAAAAACGCTAAAGATTCGATACTACCTTTGGCAACATTCAATAGACCACCCATTTTTTGTTTTTCAGCCCAACTTTTATCCCGAATCAGGACATTGACTCCTTTCTTTCCAAGTACTTCTTGTACTTCCTAAGGACAACATTTTATTCTGAATAAGCAACATGAAAATAAAATAGGTTTGATCATTTTATCGATCACTTGCACTGTCAATAGTGGATAAGATGAGAGAAAATAGATTGAAATTGGTTTGGGTACGTAATGTGGAGAGAAAACCAAAGCAGTAAGAGTAGTTATGAAAATTAACATTGAAGAGAAAATAGGAAAAGGAAAATGAAAAAAAGAGATTGTTGAAAAAAATTGAAAATTATAATTGGTGTGTGCTAGAGGATGTCAAAAATCAAGAAAAGAGGAGGTTAGGACAAAGGTGGCCGACCTCAAGTAGTTGGGAGAAAGGCAAGGAAGAAGAATTGAGTTTCATTCATTCAGTACTTAATATCTATTATTTAATAATTTAGTTACAAAAATGTATTTAAAACCATTTCATAAAATTAGATAAACAGTTTATCATAAACTATTTTTACATTATAAATAATTATTTATTTATAAGTAAATACTTATCTGTTTAACTAAGTGTATGAAATAAGAAAGAAAATAATAACACATTACCCTAGAAAATATAGTTGGAGTCATATGATTAGAAGCAGATTCAGTAAGTTTTCTTGACCAATTTTGAGCATTTGATTTAATTATGCCACATAACCACGCATCTCTATGTATCACAAAAAAAAAATGGCTTAATTAAGTACACATTTACTCTGAACATAAATTATAAGTATGTATTTTTATTCTATTTACAATTGTAAAAAAATTGAATGGAAGACCACTTGTACATAGATTGGCATGGTGTATCATGCATTCTGGCCCAAATGGTTAACTCAGTGATTAACAATGCAAGACTAATCTTATTGTAAATAAATAATAGTAAAGTAAACAAATAAAATAATTCTTTAGATCACTGAAAACTTTTATTATTCTACAAACCTATCTTTCTCCTCAAGCAATGAAATTTTAGGGATTGGATCTTGTTTTTTCTTATACTCTTGAAATTTCCAAGTGGCCAACATAGAACCTTCAGCAGCACTTTCAGAATCGCCCATTGCAGATACAAGTATGTCTTGAATGCCGCATTCTGAAAGACTACGACAGCCATCTAAAATACAATGGATACATTCAACACAATATTCAAATTAATTAACAATATTTGTTGAAGAATTACTAGCTGCTGCTCTGCGAATGTTTTCTTTTTTAGGATCAACACCATCACCGTAGTCTTTGTTATCCAATTCTTCTTTACCAATCCCAACCAGAGCAATTGTTCCATACTTAGGACTTGCATTATAAAATAATCGAGTTTTTCCTTTTTTCAAAAAACCTTTGCCTCTACAAAAATGTACATTTATCACTGTAATTTTGAATTTTTATCGGCCATAAACTAAAATAAACATTTTTTAACAGTAATGGAACAAGAAAATAATCAACAAAAATGTGTACTATAGTTATATGTAATATATATTCATAGTTAACTCTTATTCATATTAAACTATTCATCTATAAAAAATATTTCAACACAGTTACAATCATCAGCTAATAGTTAAAATAAAAGTAATAATAAACATATAAATTGCATTTATTATAAATACTATATAGGATATTGGACACAGGTAATGAAAGCAAATACAAATTCACTTCTTAATATTGGTTTTACTACATTACAATCCATATAATGAATTAATAGTAAAACATACATTTTGTAGGTAAAGTTTATAAACACAAATTATCACACTATTTCAACACATATTCCATGATACAGGGAGAAAATATTAACGTTCAAATTTATACAATTTCACATGAAAATAACCAATAAAATTAACTAATTTAAACATATACACATTAAGCAATAGCGAAATTAAACAAGAAATTACTTAAGTTCAATAACTTTAATAATTCCTTGACTATTAGCAGCCATTATTATATTAGATGTTTGCCGCCAGCAAACTGCTGAAACAAATTCATTGACGTCATCATCTCTGCGCCTGTCTTTTTCTTCTTCAGCTGCACTCAATATTGCTGTAGTCGCTTCAAATTTAAATGTAAACAATTTTCTTTGTAACCCTTTGTAGTAAATGTAAAGAGAATTATTTTCAGACCCACAAGCTATATAGTCACCATCGGTTGCTAAGCCAACAAAGTTCTTTTCATTAACATGACCAACAAAAGAACGTACACAGCCTTCATGTGCTTGATCTACATTCCAAAGTTTTAATTGACTGTCAGTCGACGCAGATACCATTTCTTTTCCATTCAAGAACTTGACATATGATACAGCTTTTTTATGGCCTTTAAATATTGCAAGAGCACGTTTAGCATGTCGCAAATCATAATAATGGACACAGTGATCAGCAGAACCAAATGCTAGATAAGATGCACCGACTGGATTAAACTTAACACAACAAACATTGGCTTTTGCTTCCAGACAAGCAACAGACCTTTCTTGATTAAGTGTCCAAAGCTTAACACGAGCATCGTCTGATCCTGAAGCCATTAATCCTGCATCAGATTTATTAAAATCAACACTCCAGCAACGTTTTTCATGTTCTCGAAATATCCTAGTACGTTGTCCAGTACCTGCATCCCATACACATACAGCTCCTTCATAGTCACTGCTAGCAACAGTATTTTTTCTGTAGGAATTCCAACTCACACATGATATCTTTGAACCAGATATCATTTCAACACAGGGATAATGAATATCCACACTGTCTCGTAAGATACTATCATATTCAAACACCTTAATACGTTTGGTTACACCAGCTATAGCAAAATATTCATCGTCTTTATCAAATTCAATACTTGAGACTATGGTTGAATTATTGAATATATCTGTACCATAATTCAGTGTTGCTATTGGTCGGAGGGAATTAAATCTAGAAAACTTCACTAGGTTTTCCCGAAACTCATCCAATCCTTTTTCATGATCTTTTTCTCTAACATTTCCATCTTCTTCAGGTGAATATTTATGACCGAATACTAGTTCTTTTGCTCTTAATGAAAAATAACAATCAACAAAATCATCAAAATGTGTACACATTCGTCGGCGTTGAACATTACCAGGTATACAATTATTAGAGCTATTCAGAGTTGGTGAAGTATTATCACATTTATCAATAGGACAACTATGCTCTGTATCTGTAGCTGCAGGTTTCTTAGCTTCCCATTCTTTTAACATTTTTTTAACAAAAGCTACATCTCTTTTAACTAGTTCCACTTGTCTACTAATTCTGCGCATTTGCGATTCTTTATCGCATAACAGCCTTTCAAGGAACTCATAAAGTAATCGGTTTTGAGCCAAAGCTGACTCTGCTTCAAGTTTACGCTTACGGCGAGTTAAAAGTTCCAACATGGCATCCACATCAGACAAAGTTAACTTCTTTGATTCAGCAGTCACAAATCCACGTAGCCCGGAAACTACACCTAATTTACTGGAGGTTTCTAATTTACGACCAGGATTTAATAGTTTATATTTGCTCACCAACTTGTCAAGAGCTAAATTTGGAAATACATCACGAATACCTCCGGATAACATGTTACCACATTTTGGACAGGCAGATTTTGCTTCTAAAGCTCTACAAACACAACTGTAACAAAATGAATGTCCACATTTTGTAATATATGCTTCATGGATTAGTTCGTAGCACACTGGACAAGAATAATCAGATGAAGTAGTATTTGATAATGAAGACTCATTTGAATCCAGATGTTGGCGTTTAACTGGACGTGATCCAGAATTCTCTTCTTCTGTTATCTCGGACATTGTTTTAATTTTTATTTTAATACATTTTAGTACGTCGCAAACTGAAACAATAAGAAATAATTTATTTTAGTATATATTAATATATCATACAGGCATAAATTCAAAATCTTAAAGAGAATTTCTCTAAGTATAATAAAAAAAATAAAATAAAATGATTGTGTATTAATAATAAATGTAGCTCTTAAATTAAAAGTTAATTAATAAAAAAAAAAATTAATCAATAAAAAAATAATTAAAAAGTACCTAATAAATTGATTTTTCTTTAAAATTTGTAGATAACTTATAACCAAACTTAAAGCTTTCAAATTAAATAAAGAAATAGAAAAGAAAAAAGAAATTATAAAAAAAAGGCACACACAAAATAGAAATTGTTAAAATAAATAAGAAATTTAATAAAAAGAATAAGAACAGAACTATCTATAACATATTTCAATTTAAATAAATATAATTTAAGGAGAGAAAGTTTTTTTATATGTATACTAGTATAAAAGTAATAATATTTAATCTTTATATAAACATGCCTAATATTTATGACATATTAATAAGTACATAATTATCTCTTATCATTTCAGTTTGCAAAGTTTTACTTTAAAACAACTATAGTTTAATGAATAAACAATAATTAATGAAAATTATAAACTTGATAGATACAATTTAATTCATAGCTAATACATACAAAAAAGTATGTAATTAATTACTACACTTAATACATTTTTTGTAATGTAAGCTAATTTTTAATATTTTAATCACCACTGAGATGGTAAAAATTTAGTAAATAAACTAACAATAATTCAGTAGATTCACAATATTACGAAAAGTATAAACAAAAATAATACTCTTTACTTCTGCCATATCAAAAAATTTAAAGTTTTCAAACCATTTAATTTAACTGATGAAAAACATAGAAAATACGGATAGGTTTTCAATGATAGTTCAACCACAGAATATAATAAACTTAATCTATGCTGTCGTTCAGTTATTAATGATATTACTGGCTTACATAGGTAAACTAGGAAAGTATACTTTTTGGTTAAAAATGTATTAAAATATTTATTTATTTAGATGAAATGATATTTAATGTCATAAATTCATAATAATAATAACAACTAATTAACTACAAATTAAAGTTATTTTTATCAAATTATAATAATTTTTAAGATAATTAATGCTTATATTAAGGTACATAAAGCAAAAGAATACATCAAAATAAGATTATGTTAACAAAATGAAGTGTGAACTATAAAATATATACACACATATATATATATATAATAGCTGTGTAATAATTTAGAATAAAACAAATAATTGAAAATATCAAGTAAAATTATAGAAGAAAAACTTTCACCATTCTTATAATTAAATATATAAATAAATAATTTATATATAAAATTAAATAAATGCTTGGTCTAGAATATTAATATATTTGTAATATAAATAAAATCGTGACTACATAATATTAACTTTGTGTACATCTAAGATGAATTTTTAATTTGAAACCGGTCTTACATTACAAATACAATACTCCATGTTAAACATTTATTTATTTTTTTTTTTCACTTATTTTTGTTTTTTTATATTTTTTTATTATTCATAGAATTACTAAAAATAACTTATTATATGTAATATACTTACATTTTTAATGCTTTCACTATTGCACCATCAGTTTCTTGGTTTATTTGATCAGCAACTGACGTAAGTTTTACGTTATCCCCAGATTGGTCAATATATGCACCAACAACAAGACCTCTCTATAAAATTTAATAATTTGGATAAACAAATATTACCATAAGTACTTAATACAATCATGATTAAATAAGAGCTGATTAATATTAATTGAATAGAAAATTGAACATTATTCATAAACTGAACAATATTTTTATTATATTATAAAGGACCAATAGCTATAATCTTACTGCAATTTAAAAATGTAAATTAAATAAAATATTAGTAATTAATGAATAAATGATTTTTTTTTTCAATACAAATTTAATGGTAGTATAAAAGTTGTTAAATTGTTACAATGGATTTAATACACTTATATGTTTATGTATAACAGGGGTGGCGAAAGCTAAGCACGCATACCAAATTTCAATGAAATGCAAAAACATTGAAATTATTAAAAATTTTACAAAAAATTATATTATTTATAAAAAAATTCAGAAAAACAAATGATAATATTCCTAATACATTCAATTTATTTATCTACAATGCTTATGAAAGTTTATTCTTCATAACAAATTTAATTAACTCGAAGGAAACAAATGCTTTGACCAATGAAATAATTGCTGCTCGTGTTTCACTAAAAATTACAAAGTACACATCAAAACTTTATTCATTAAGAAATAGCATAATATAATTAAATATAATACCAAATTTAAGAATATTTAATAAAACATAATTTATAAAATTACAAAAAAAAATATGTACCTAACTAAAAAATAATACCTAAATGTAATGCAGTAAATCTGTAATTTTATTTATATCTTTAAAAAATATAATTTCCTTCGAGTCCGTTAACAATTTTCTAAACCTTGATTGGAAAAAATTGGTACTTAACCCAAAAAAGGTTTGTCACTTCTAATTATGATGCACAGAAAATACAAATTATTAAGTGCTTAAGGCATTAAACGTTAAGAATTCAACTATGTCAAAGCACTCGCAATAAGGAAACTAACTAATTTTATTTTGATTAAATATCATAATACATAGTACAAATAAAATTTTAACCAATCAACTCTTTATGCATTAAGTCATTAAATTGAGACAAAATGGCTGAAATTGGCAATATTGAAATCGAGACATAAAATTAAATTAAGATTAACATTTCATTAAACCAGTTGTATTTTCCATGTATATAAACCATATTTTATATGATTCAGGGAAATTTTAATAATGTTTTTTTAAAATAAAAACGGTCTCAAAAAATAATGATAATCAACACCAAAAAAATAATGTGGTACAACAACATTGACGACATATTGAAATGTGTCTATACTCAAAATAAGTAATGGTCAATGGAAAGAAAAAACACAACTGTACCGAATTGACCATTCACTACAGACCCGTAGACCCAAGAACGAGTGAAGCTTATGATTTACCGATCATAAATATAATGACGGCCGGACGAAGAGACTGTAGCGGTGTGCAAGAAACAGCAGATCTACTGCAGGAATCGCAAAACGTGGCACTACGACCGTGAAACTCACCTTGGTAAGGTCAGTGTCGCTGCTGAAGTTTCGACGGTATACGACGGCTGGCAATCTGGCGGAAACGGTCAGACGAGCGACGTTTGCGGATCCACGTAAGTACATGATGGCTATGACGGCGGGGCGCACGGACATGAATGGCGCATTTGGTGACGTCGCGGCGGATCGGGACCGGGGGACTGAGCCGGGACGAAAATTGCTAATCTGGTCGGTAGAGAAACGGAACGAGGACGAGATCCTAACGGCGTGGACAACGGGACAAGATAATTCGAACACCGGACAACGCGGCGACCTGATATCTCACGTCGACGGAGAACAGAAAAAACGCCGTAAACAGCAGCGTGTCGCCGTCCGTTCAATCGCCGCGTCGTTGAGAATAAGATTGAAAAGCAATAAACGACGCGGAACAAAACCTAAAAATCCTACGGCGGCGACGACGATGACGATGACGGTGATGGTGATGATAATAATGATAATAATAATAATAATCGAACAATGATGTTGCAGAGGTACGTCCGCGGACGACAGTCGCGCGTGTGTGTTAACACAATCAATGACGGCGGCGGCCAAGGTTTACAGATAATATCAACGGGATAGATGTATCGTCTTATTGGGCGGCGGCAATCAAGGTGAGTGCCGATAACGATCGGGCAGCTGGTACACCTCCACTGTTGCGCACCTCCAAGCGCCATCGCGGCGGCGGACGACATCTACCGACGAGGTGCGCGCGGACCTGTTCCACTGTTACGTGCGAGAGTACGCGCGACGTACAGCACCTCACCAATTACTGGTCCGACGCGCGTCTTCCCGACGTTTCTCGAACATTTTGACGTCACGCAATAATGTTTTTGTCGCGCGGAACTAACCTTGTGAAAACGATCTTCGAACAATGAAGGTGGACCCCGGAGGCGGATTTATCTTTTTCGCGGCTACAGGCACCAACAATTTGCCGCCCCTGTAATAGGCGAAGAAGTTATGTTAACCCTTCCAAAACACATAATCCAAGTATTAAACATATGAACGTATGTACCTGCAATCCGTTAGAATTTTTAGACTATTTTTTTCGCTTTTATATTAAGTAATCTAATTCGAAAAAATGTCAATGGATGTCCATAAAATTTTAATGAAAACAGATTTTCATAATAACACCATAGGAATTATTGACATCCAAATAGTTATATAGTGTAGCAGTGTGGGTATTTATTTTTTCCCGGAATTCCGACGGTAACATATTAACAAAATGCACCCATTGTTATACAATTATTTTTCGTAAATATAAAGTAATTAATTTTCCAATTTTTTTTTTTCATACGTTTGATGTTTTTCAATAAAACACTACAGAATTTACCGTCCTAGGCAATTTCCTACAGTACCTAATGGGAAATCTGCCTCTGGTAGGCATCCAAAACGTGGTGATTTGAACGGTAACGCCTTTAACAGTAATACTATAAGACGCTAAATATCTCGAATCGTTCGTACCGTAGCACACGAGTTGTAACATCGTTTATCATCTGACATCGTTAATAGGAAAAATAATAGTAACACTGATGCATGAATATCCAATGGATGAACTCGAACGCGACATTATATTTTATCATTATATAACCTATTATTTGTCTGCACGTCTATGTACATCGCCGGCATTTGATAATATTGATGATAAACAAACACAATATTCACAATGTGAGTAATTTTTATATCCTTCTAGGTTAGGGTTGCCATACGTCTCGGTATATGTCATCAGTTTATGATTTCGGTCCCGGTTAAGTGTAATTAAGTACCAATGATTATAAATTATATTCTAAAATGTTGTACTTTAAAGCGACAAAAACATTTAACTTCACGTCGAACGCTCCACTACTTTGATAAGATTATATATAATAAGATAAAAGATGATGCTCAGTTTTTAGTTTTAATACAATTATTAGACCAAGATGTCGATAATCATTATAAAACATCAGAAGAATATTTTAACAGTGAAGTAACCTTGTCATGAATTGTGACGTCTTTTCATCGATAGTTCTTCCCTGCAATGGAAATATATTGAAAAGGCAATAACTTATTTAAAATAAAAGCGTAATGACATCACGAATAGTTGCTTTGAAGAAATATTGTACCTTAAAAACTTCATTAACAAACAGAAAATTGATGAAGATTTGATTAAAAAAAACATGCCATGACAAACGGTTACATTTCTTTCGAAAAATTGATATGTTGGAAAAAAAAAATTTAATCTTGATGTGCCAATACTTATATGACATTCCTGGTCATATAACACTAATATCGAGAGAATATTTTCACAGAAATGGCCAATTGCACCAAATAACGCAACTGTCTTTAAGTAGAAACTATAAAAAGTATCATTCAATTCGAATTTAATTTCAAAATTACTTGTTCAGAATTGCATACGTATGTCATGGGAAAACTAGTTTTATTGAAACAGATGAAAAAATCTGAAAAATATAATATTTCAATCATAGGCGTGTGCACGGGGGTGGCCGGGTGGGCCACGCCCCCCCTGCGAACTTTGGCTTTTTCTTTAATAAATGTATATCTATACTATACAATATAGCGAACATTTTTACATTTTACATGAATAAAGTAAAGTCAGTTTTAATCTTATAGTATAGAATTGATATCTGTGAATAAATGTAATAAAGTTATTAGTTATTAATCAAACTAATCAGAACTTGCATAAAATATAAAAATTGAAGATGTAATTAATACATTCAAAAACCTTACTCCCGTGGACAGAAGGATAAAGTTCTAAATAGTATAATAATATGTAAATAAGGATTTCTTAGATATAAATTGTGTATGTTTAAATAGTATTTATTTTTATATTTGCATATTGAATTAAATAAATAATTTATAAAATTTAAAATATTTAATTATACTAGTAGTCTTTAGTACAAATATCTTTGGTTCACTTTTTTTAAGTGCCCCCCTACGGACAAAGTCTGCGCACGCCTATGATTTCAATTGATTAACTAAATGTATGATTTATTTAATTTCTGTAAGAAAGTAAACCCTCAATCTTATAAAAATGCTGTAAAATAAGTATGTAATCGTATTTTGTATAGTATTAATGTTCTACGCTATTATTATTCTTCATTTACTTTCATTTATTACCTTACACCTTTGATAGCCCAGTTTGGTGTAACTGTTAGTTATAAATCAAATAAAACGAAATTTCAAATGAATCGGTTTGGTAGTTTTGGTTTTTACACGGAATTACCCGATTTTGTATCATACGATTTATCGTTTTTAAGATGTAGCGATGATCAATGGAGTGACCCCCGATCGCGGCCCAAAGTAACCTTTTTACATTTTCACTTGTCCCGATTGCGGCCCATTCATAATAGATAGGAAATACTATTTTCAGTGGTTATCAAATTAAATAAATATCCTGATTGCTCCGACACGTATTCTGATGTACCTAATAAGTACCTAATAAAGGTACCTAATAAGTACCTTATAAGTACCTAATAAGTTTACCTAATAAAGATAAACCTA